CCCCAAAACCCCAAAACCCCAAAACCCCAAAACCCCAAAACCCCAAAACCCCATTATAAATTACAGACTTGAAAGATACTGCCAAAGAGGATTTATTGAGTGTTCGGGGTGGAATTTTGGGATGGAGATGAAGGAATTTGAGTGGGTGGAGAGGGGCTTGGAGTGGGGAGAGGGGGTTGGGGTGAGGAGATTGGGGTGGGTGATTGGGGGAGGAGGGAGGAGGGGATTTTAGGGTTAGAATTCAGGGAGATTTGAGGTAGGGAGGTTGGTTGTGTTGGGGTATTGGTATGGAGAGGGTAGGATAGATTGTTTGTTGATTTTAGCGATGAAATTTGGAGTAATCTGTGCTTTTATTTCATATTTTTTAGTTTTTATTCTTTAATGTAATATAATTCTATCAAACAAATTAAAAATCCTTAATTTCTGGATATGTTTCATAAATTCAATATTATTTAGGATTTCCAAATAGAAGAAAATTTTGGGCCAGAATTATATTCAGAATAACTCTCTTATAAATATCCCATTTTAACCACAACCAGACTTCGTGCTTTAGGCTTTTACTTTTATATATTTGGTAAAATTTTAAATTCCCATTATTTTTTGGAATTATTTCACCTAAAACGAATTAATAGCTAGTAAAACTTGGTGACCATTGTAGACTACAAAATATCACCAATGGGCTAAACCCTCAGAACTCATTATAATGGGAACAAAAGACCTTCTAACAATACACTAGTTAGTATTTGGTTAGCAAAATTCAATGAATATAGCTCCATGATTTCGAGGAAAAAATTTGAAAATTTTAGAAGAACTTTTATGAAAAATTTTAGGGTTTATTGTTCCACCGCAGGCTTTATATCCTTCATTGTGACATATTTAGAGAGACTTTGATTCCCTGAAGCATCTTGAAAGGTATCTTTAAGAGGAAATGGACTGCTCCATGTTTTCACCTCTTTTCTTTTTCTTATTTGAGATGCATATTTGAGAAGATTACTCACCTCTTGCTTCAGGGATATATTATTCTTATTTTCTTCTATTTCATCTCTCCTCTGGATTACAGTTCTTTTCTTATGAAAAGAACTGAGTTCATGACTTCTTAGCTTCAAATTGGATGATTTTTGACTTCTCTTCTCCCTCTTTTGAAAAGGCACTAGTAATCTATCACTCATTCAAGATTTCTTTCTTTCCTTTTTACTACTAAGCGATTTCTCACACATATTAATAAAGATCTTCTCAGAGTTTCTGACTGATCAAGAGGAGACCTCCTCACTCAGCAAGTCCTCTGACAAGTTCTCTTCAAACTGGATTTGTTGCAGGGTGTTCATTTTAAATATATTTAAGTATTGTTGGTTCCAGTATTTTAGTACCCTCACGGGGTTTTGGGGTTTTGGGGTTTTGGGGTTTTGGG